ATAAGGATTATTAGGACCCCAGAATGGTCAGGTAAAATGGCAAAAAAAAAAAAAAAAAAAAAGGTCTGGTCTGTAGTGACTTTGGTAAGAGTAGTTTGAGTATGGAACCAGGCCTGGAGGCCAGGCCATGGTAAATAAATTTAAAAATTAATAGTAATGGTTTCTCTCCTTTTATTATTTTTTTCTTGATCAATCAAAGTTTATCAATTTTATTAATTTTCTCAAAATAACGAACTTTTGGTTTTTGGTTTCTTTTTTATATTTCTGCCACTTCATTGATTTCTGCTTTAATCTTTACTATTACCTTTCTTCTTAGTTTGAGTTTAATTTGTTTTTCTTTGTTTAGTTTCTTAAGATAGAAATCAAGGTCACTGATTTGATAACTTTCTTCTTTTATAATATTGTTTAGTGCTATAAATTTACCTCTAAGTTCTGCTTTAGCAGCATGACACAGTATGTCATATGTCATGTTTTAACTTTCATGCATTTCAAAATGCTAATTTCCATTTTATGTCTCCTTTAATCCATGGCTTATTTAGAAGTATCATGTTTGGTTTTCAAATATTTAGGAAATTTCCAAATGTCTTTCTGTTATTGATTTCTAATTAAAATCCATTGTGGCCAGAAAACATACTTTGTGTGACTTGAATCCTTTTGCATTCATTCAGACTTGTTTTATGGCCCAGGGTATAGTCTATCTTGGCAAATGCTCCCTATGCACTTAGGAGTTTGTGTTCTGTGTTGGGTGGAGGAGTTCCGTAAATGTCAGTGAGGTCTGGTAGGTTGGTAGTGTCATTCAAGTCTACCGTATCCTTTTCAGTCTTTTTGTTCTGTCCATTATTGAGAGGGGTATTGAAATCATTGACTATAACTGTGAATTTATCTATTCGCCTTGCAGTTCTATTAGTTTTTGTTGAATGTATTTTAGAAGCACTGTTATTAGAAGCATGAAGGTTTGGATGTATTATGTCTTCTTTATTTATTGACCATGGTTCACTGAATGCTTAATATCTAATTGCTATGTGACTTTCTGACTCCACATTGTGAGCTCTAGAACACAGCTACCCAGGGAGGTAAAGGTCAGGAATAGTCTTGCAATTGGGCAAAAGATAGGGTGAGCCCAGCAGGCTGTTGGCTGAGGGCTGCTGCCCAAAATGCATCTTGTGGCTCCCCAACCATTTCCCCATCTCTAGGGGATTCAGTGCCTGAAATTTCACCTCCAGAGATCTTTTTGGTTCATTAGCCCCTGTCTAGATAGTTTTGCAAATGTCTGCAAGAGAGGAAACACAGCAGCACACATGCTTCCCTGCTGAGAGAGAAGGTGCAGCGTGTGAGCACTGGGGCCCAGAGTGGAACCCGAAACTGGGAGAGGCAGTTTCCAAGGCTGGTCCCAAGGCTGTTCTGAGGTGTGGGGTAATCATCTGTCATTAGAGATGTCAGTGTAGAGTCCAGGGACCTGATTAATGTCATCTCAAACTAGCTCACAGCCTGCAGGCCTACGCAGGCATGCTGGATTTTGGAATCCTAGGTGTAGCATTCCTAATGTAAAGCTGACGTTTTCAAGAGTTGTACCACAGGAGTGGATGTGACGGTGGAGATGAAAAGGCTTGCCCAGTAGCCTTCCCTTTTTTAGGTTTCTTCCCCCAAAAAACTGTTTAGAATGAAAAAGAACTAAGATTTGTCTTTTGAATCCTAGTCCAAATTAGACATTCTGCTGCCCTAAGTAACCTGCCTGATTTCCAGGGCCCCACTTATTTCTGCCCTTTTCTCTGGCATTAGGCCGTGTGTGTTGCAAGATATATAATCGTGATCTGCCTGCCTTGGCCTCCCAAAGTGCTGGGATTACAGGCATGAGCCACCACACCCGGCCACAGAATTTATTTTTTATCACATTTATAGCAGTGCAAATATAGCCCTAATGCCCTCAAGATTCTGGTCTGGATTCTGTGAAACAAGATAAACAGGTCAGAGTGTTTTCCATGCTGAGAGACTGGGTAACCCAGGAAGGACGTGATGGATTTCATCAAGTCTAAGTCCCAGAGATGAAATACCAAGCATTATTGTAGGAACCAGCAAGACAGTAAAAGCTCAACTATGACAAAGCCTAAGATGTAGCTGACTGTGAGATTCATCTGATTTCAGGATGCCAAAATCAAAACAAAAACACAAAACACCTCGCTCTTTGCATCAATAAAATACGATAGGCAATGGGAACAAGAATAGAAGGACATGCACACAGCAACCCAGCACAGACTTCTATATAAAAGTAGTGTGGTTATTTAATAAGTGCCCAACAATTTGCAATGCAGAAACGTGTAACCAGCCCAAATTCCCATCAGTTCCCATCAATCAATGAGTGGATAAAGAAACTATCCATTCATTGATTCATCTCATTCATATATATATATATATATTCCATCATATATATATATTTCATATATATATATTCCATCATATATATATATATGATGGAATACTGCTCAGCCATAAAAAGAAATGAATTAATGGCATTTGCAGCAACCTGGATGGGATTGGTGACCATTATTCTAAGAGAAGTAACTCGGGAGAGGATAACCAAACACCGTTCATTAGTGGAGGCTAAGCTATGAGGCCGCATAAGAATGATACAGTGGGCCGGGCACGGTGGCTCAAGCCTGTAATCCCAGCACTGTGGGAGGCCGAGGCGGGTGGATCACGAGGTCAAGAGATCGAGACCATCCTGGTCAACATGGTGAAACCCCGTCTCTACTAAAACTACAAAAAATTAGCTGGGCATGGTGGCGCGTGCCTGTAATCCCAGCGACTCAGGAGGCTGGGGCAGGAGAATTGCCTGAACCCGGGAGGCGGAGGTTGTGGTGAGCCGAGATCGCGCCATTGCACTCCAGCCTGGGTAACAAGAGTGAAACTCCGTCTCAAAAAAAAAAAAAAAAAAAAAAAAAGAATGATACAGTGGACTTTGGGGACTCGAGGGGAAAGAGAAGTGGGTGAGGGATGAAAGACTACAAATCAGGTTCAATGCATACTGCCTGGGTGATGGTGCACCAAAATCTCACATATCGCCACTAAAGAAGTTAGTCATATAACCAAATGCCACCCGTTCCCCCAAAACTTAAGGAAATAAAGATAAATAAATAAATGAAAAGTGCCCAACTTAGTCTTTTTCTTTTTCAGATGGAGTCTTGCTGTGTTGCCAGGCTGGAGTGCAGTGGCGCTATCTCAGTTCAAGTGACACTCTCTGCCTCAGCCTCCAGAGTAGCTGGGACTACAGGTGTGCACCAGCATGTCCAGCTAACTTTTGTATTTTTAGTAGAGATGAGGTTCCACCATGTCAGCCAGGATGGTCTCGATCTCTTGACCTTGTGATCTGCCTGCCTTGGCCTCTCAAAGTGCTAGGATTACAGGTGTGAGCCACCGTGCCCTGCCTAGTCTAACTTTCAATACAGCTAAACACACAGCTATAAAAAACCAAGTGTGGACTCATGCCATTTCCCTTGGAGCAGAGGAACCTGAATGATCAGGGAGGCATTGTCCCAAGATAGTAAAGGGAGGAGGGAAGAGGGAAAGGTTCCCAGAGGAGACAGACCTTCAAAAGGAAACAAGCCGTACTCCTAAATCTGAGACATATCCATAAGTCCATCCTGATCTAAAGAAATGACTACATAAATAAGCAGACAAGTAAGTGGGTCGGGGAGGAAGCGTCAGCTCTCTCACACACTTGCACTCCCAGTAACTGATATAGGTCCTCTGCCCTGAAGTGGAGCGGAACTCCCCACTCGAGTGTGGGCTGTGTAGACTTCCTTCCTTCCAAAGAGCACTGGATAAAAGTAGGGACAAAGAGTAACTGTACGGCAGCCAGGCATGGTGGCGCACGCCTGTAAACCCAGGACTTTGGGAGGCTGAGATGGGTGGGTCTCTTGAAGTCAGTTTGAGACCAGCCTGGCCAATATAGTGAAACCCCATCACTACTAAAAATACAAAAATTAGCCAGGCATGGTGGCACGTGCCTGTAGTCTCAGCTACTCAGGAGACTGAGACAGGAGAATTGCTTGAACCTGGGGGGCAGAGCTTACAGTGAGCGGAGATCACCCCACTGCACTCCAGCCTGGGTGACAGAGAGACTCTCTGTCTGAAAGGGGGAAAAAAAAAAAAAAGAGTAACTGTGTGGTAGAGAGGCCTGACAAATGCTCCCTCTGCCCAGTGAGATCAAGGTCATCATGGACAGTGCTAAGTCATGATGGTACTGTGTGCCCTGGATCCTGGGATGAGAATGACACTTTACCTCTGTCTTCCTACCCCTAACCTCAGTCTGATCATGAGAAAGGCAGAAGAATCCCAACTGGGGAACCAACTATAAATTCCTGGCCAGACTCTTCAGAAATGTCAAGGTCATCAAAAACTAGGAATGTCTGAGAAATGGCCACAGCCAAGACAAGGCTAAGGAGACTTGAGGACTTATGAATGTGGGGTTCCGGGTGAGATTCTGGGACAGAAAAGAGGCATTAGAGGAAACTGAGGAAACCTGAATAAACTATGGACTTTATTTAATGATAATATATTCATACTGGTTCTGTCACTGTGACAAATATACCATACTAACGTACAAGGTTAGTAATGGGAAAAATTGAGGACTATGTACTCTGTGCTCTCTTCCCAACTTTTCTGTACATCTAAATGTATTTTTAAATAAAAAGCTTATTTAAAAAAATAAACAGGAAACAAGCTGGAGAGGCTGTTCTGTTGAGCACCCTGGAAGGGGCTGAGGACTCTAGACCTGCTAGGGGGCCGTGTAGGGGGTAGGGGGACCCACAATAACACCCAGGAAAGATGCAGGGGTCACTCTGAAAGATCTATCATCTTGGTCTGGATTTTCTGGCTTGTTATCCCATCAATGTGGGAATGGATTTGAGGTTTAGCTAGAACTAAACATATGACTCACTTGTCTGTGAAAAGCAATCTCTTCTCCAAATAAGCAGAATAAATACGTGTCCTTGAGTGTTTACTAAGAGGATGGTGCTTGTGAAGAGGTCTGTGAAGCCACAGCAGACACTCTCCATGCACGTGGACCGTGGGGTCTCCTCCACCGAAGCGTGGGTTCCATCTGTGCTAGCCTCGATCCTCGGGAGCTCCCTGCAGTGAATCCTCTTGTGCAGGCAGCTGGGGCTATAAGAGCAAGCCTTCTGCTTACGGCATAGGCTCTTTGTAATGGGCTCACACAGTCTCCAGATTCTTGTGTCATTTCAGCTTGAGAATGCAAGGACAGTCCTGTGTCATGCTGTTCCCGAGGCCAGCATGAACTGTCTATCACCACTTGGTTACTTCTCTTCCCACTGACAAGGTGGGCTCACATTACAGTCACCAGACTGAAGAAAGGAGGTGTAAGACATCACGGGAAAGTGCGTTTGGGTTATCCAACCGTGGAGGCCAATGTTCGGACAACCCATTGAAGTGGTTGCCCAGGACATAGTTGGTGCTGACCTAGTTACTATCATAGGTGAGGTCTCTGTAAACTAGAGAGACATCTGAGGTCTCCCTTCCTCCTCACTTTGGTTATTTTTTAATTTTTTGAGACACAGTTTTCTACCTGTTGCCCAGGCTGGAGTGCAGTGGTATGATTTTGGCTCACTGCAACTCCGCCTCCTGGGTTCAAGTGATTCTTCTGCCTCAGCCTCCTGAGTAGATAGGATTACAGTCATGTGCCACCACACCCAGCTAATTCTGTACTTTTAGTAGAGATGGGGCTTCTCCATGTTGGTCACGCTGGTCTCAAACTTCTGACCTGGGGTGATCTGCCCACCTTGGCCTCCCAAATTGCTGGGATTATAGTTGTGAGCCACTGCGTCCAACCCACTTTCGTTATTTTTATCCGAGGCTTTTTTTTTTTTTTTTTTTTTTGAGACAAACTCACTGCAACCTCCACCTCCCCGGGTCCAAGCACTTCTTGTGCCTCCGCCTCATGAGTAGCTAGGATTATAGGCACCCACCATCACACCCAGCTGCTTTTTGTGTTTTTAGTAGAAACGGGGTTTCATTGTGTTGGCCAGGCTGGTCTGGAACTCCTGGCCTTAAGTGATCCACCCACCTCAGCCTCCCAAAGTGCTGCGATTACAGGCGTAAGCCACCCCGCCCAGCCTGAGGCTTTCTCATTTTAATCAAGAAAACAAAACAAACCCACTCTGGACTAGTTGGAAAAATGTCTGTCATACATCTGTTTGTATTTACCTAGATTGGAAAAAGGTTTTGTCCTGAGATTTGGTGAGAAAAATAAAGGTCCTCTTGGAAAAGAAAATAAAGAAGAATCAAAAGAAACAAATTTATTTTACTTAGAAAGGTTTGCAGTTACTTGCCTATCCCTGAACAGGACTCAGCTTTCATCCTAAAGCACCGTTCAGCTTGGAAATTCTTTGTTCTGATTCACTCCCTTTTATTCTTTATTAGTATTATTATTGAAAGCAACATGTAAGAAAGGCACTAGGCCACCTCATCTTTGGGGCAAAGAGAAATTATTCTGCATATCAAATTTATCAAATATGAGAAGAATCTTGATCTCTTGGCTGCCTAGGATGTATTTTTAAAATTTTTTTATTCTGAGATGGAGTCTTGCTCTGTCGCCAGGCTAGAGTGCAGTGGCGCGAACTCTGTTCACTGCCACCTCTGCCTTTTGGGTTCAAACGATTCCCTGCCTCAGCCTCCTGCATAGATGGGACTACAGATAAACACCACCATGCCCAGCTAATTTTGTGTGTGTGTGTGTATTTTAGCAGAGACAGGGTTTCACCATGTTGGCCAGGATGGTCGTGATCTCCTGACCTCATGATCTGCCTGCCTCAGCCTTCCAAAGTGCTGGGATTATAGGCATGAGCCTCCACGCCTGGCCATCTGTGAGTATTTTAAGTGCAGTTACATAATGTCTTGGCCCAACTGACCCAGGGTGCATTTTCAAAAACCCTTGTTTTATTTGCTGACTCTCTAGGCTCAGGCATTTCTAGAAGAGCTAAGGATGTAATTTCTTTTAAATAAATATGAGGTGGTAGTGGCTTCAAAATTAGAGTACCCAGAAACCAGGAGATAATGATGTAGCCACTGCATAAGTCACTATGTAAAACTTGAGACTAGGAAGGGAAGCATGCCTGTCATAGTCTAGGTCAATGCTAAATACTTCGGCACATACTGCTGGTAAACAGCATTAAGTTGCTTTTCTGGGAGTTTGTAGGAACTGCCTCTTTCATTGTGTACTTTTAGCATTTATAATAATCTTTCTGTATTTTTCTTCTTTCCAAAACATCCTTTTCCCATTTATGAGCAACCACAACAAAAATGCATTTGCGTTATTATTTGTTAATAGCTCACCTCTCTTAGAGACAAAATGCTGCTAGTGTAGAATTGAACATTTTTTCCCCTCACTATCTGTAATTCCATGTGTTTCCATTTATAATGCCTGGCAGTGGACTAAGTACTCTTTAAACATTGCCTGGTAATGCTCATGATATTGACAAAGTTGACTTTTGCTGGGAGAATGCAGGAGGATAGAAAATAAAAATATTCATTCATGTTCCCAGTCAATACCTAGCCAGGCCCTCTGTGGAAATGGGGAGGTGTCCAGGCAGGTCCCTAGAGACAGTGAGATGCTTGTATTGACTCCAGATGCCATTGCCCTTTTGTTCATTAGCCAGCCCACCTAAGTCTATTTCTATATCTGCATAATGGGTCAAATGTATGTACATGAACTTTACCTTAATGCAGCCACTTAGATGATGATATCTACCATGGACACGGTTGGCCGTATGCCAGCACTTTCGGCGGGTACTACCAGTGAGGTCCCAAACCAGAAAACAAAACAAAACCACTCTGGACTAGTTGGAAAAATGTCTGTCATATGTATGTTTGTATTCACCAAGGTTGGAAAAAGGTTTTGTCCTGGGATTTGTGGGAAGAATAAAGGTCCTCTTGGGAAAGAAAATAAAGAAGAATCAAAAGAAACAATTTTCTTTTACTTGGAAAGGTTTGCAGTTATTTGCCTATCTGAGAACAGGACTCAGCTTTCATCCTAAAGCACCATTCAGCTTGGAAATTCTACAGGCATGTGGAGTCTACAGACATGTTAATGGAGGACCTGGAGTGGCCCAGGATAGCTCACATCTATAATCCCAGCACTTTGGGAGGCCAAGGTGGGCAGATCACCAAAGTCTAATCTGTCTTTATTCAGATATAATTCACCTCCCATACAATTATCCCATTTATAGTCTGCAATTCAGGCCAGGCGCAGTGGCTCACACCTGTAATCCCAGCACTTTCGGAGGCTGAGGGGGGTGGATCACCTGAGGTCAGGAGTTTGAGACTACCCAACAGGGTGAAACCCCATCTCTACTAAAAATATAAAAATTAGCCGGGCATTGTGGCGCATGCCTATAATCCCAGCTACCTGTGAGGCTGAGGCAGGTGAATCTCTTGAACCTGGGAGGCAGAAGTTGCAGTGAGCCAAGACTGCGCCACTGCACTCCAGCCTGGGCGACAGAGCTAAACTGTGTCTCAATAAATAAATAAAATAAATAAATAAATGTTTACGACTCAGTGGTTTTTAGCGGATGCACAGAGTTATGTAACCATCACTCCAATCAATTTTAGAACCTATCACTCCAAAAGGAACCCCATATTCACTAACTGTCATTCCCCATTTCCCCACCAACATCCTCCTCTTTACCTACCCTAGAAAACCATTAATCCATTTTTTGTCTCAATAGATTTGCTTAATCTGGACAATCATATAAGTGAAATCTTACAATATGTAGTCTTCTGTGACTGGTGCATTTCATTTACCATAATTCTAACCTGCCTTTTAAATCATGTAATTTTTCACCTCAACAACTGTGTTTTAAATTTCTCTAAGTTTCAGCCAGGTGTGGTGGCTCACGCCTGTAATCCCAGCACTTTGGGAGGCTGAGGTGGGCGGATCACCTGAGGTCAGGAATTCGAGACCAGCCTGACCAATATGGTGAAACCCCATCTTAAAAAAAAAAAAAGCCAGGCGCAGTGGCTCACGCCTGTAATCCCAGCACTTTGGGAGGTGGAGGCGGGCGGATCATGAGGTCAAGAGATTGAGACCATCCTGGCCATGGTGAAACCCCGTCTCTACTAAAAATACAAAAATGAGCCGGGCGTGGTGGCATGCACTTGTGGTCCCAGCTCCTCAGGAGGCTGAGGCTGAAGAATCGCTTGAACCCAGGAGGCGGAGGTTGCAGTAAGCAGAGATTGCGCCACAGCACTCCAGCCTGGTAACAGAGCAAGACTCCGTCTCAAAAAAAAAAAAAAAAAAAATTCTATAAGTTTCATTACTCTCCTTTTCAATTTACCTGATCTTTTGATAGTCTCTTTTTGCTTACTTTTGTGATGCTATCTTTAAATATTGCACATGTAGTTATGCTATTTTCTGATCATTCTTGTAGCTGAAGTCCTTGAGCTTCTAAATCTGCTTCTACTGATTCTTACTCATGGTAGTTTGCTTCTCTGTATATTTGGTGATCTTTAATTGGAAACTAACATTTAGTTCATCTTAAATTGTGAAAAATCAGAGGTTTTAATTCAAGAGAAATTGCATAAGCTTCTGCAGGAGTCAGGGTGCTTGAGACCACAAGGTCCCTTATCAAGAGTCTGACTTAAAGAAAGAGCCCCCTTGCTGCTCACAATGCTGATCGTGGAATTCACCCTCACTTGTGTATATGTGCTAACCACTCGCTCACCTCAGCCTGAATCTCTTGGTATGCATGTATGTGTGAATGTACGTCTAGGTGTATACCCACATGTGTATACAGGGGTGTATGTATGTGTGTGCATAAACATATGTGCGTGCATGTATGTAAATGTGTTGTGTGTGCGTGTTGTATATGTATATATGTATGCACATGTGTATGCCTGTGTGTATGCATGTTGTATATGTATTTGTGTGTGTGTGTATGCATGTGTGGCTATGTGTTTGGTCCTCAGAGGTAACCTTTATCTTTTGCTTGCCCAGCCATGCACAGAAGCTCTTTCTTACCTAGTAACATCTACCTTATCTGTGAACACCAAAGTCTGATCCTGTTTGCCTGCAACTGAGAACCTTGACTCATGGAATAGCCTTTTAGTAAGAGAAGAATTATATCTGTCAGCATTGGCAGTATGCCCCACCTGGTTTTAAGGGGTTTACATGTGTTAACTCCCTTAATCATCACACCTTCCCATTTCACAGATAAGAAAACTGAGCCGTGGAAAAGCTGGGTAACTTGTCTCGGGTCTCACAGCTTGCAACTGTTGGACTGGGAGATAAACCCAGGAGACCTGGCTCTTTTCCATTCTCACGACTGCAAAAAGAAATGGAAGGGTTCAGGATCATCCAGGATTTGGCAGAAAA